GGGGGCCTTATAAAGTCTAGTAGGCCATTCTCTAAGGACACTGAAGTTAAGGAGACTCATGAATGATGAGGTGAAGAGAAGGGCTGAACCATTTGGTGTTCTTTGGGGAATGGGTTCCAAGGAAGGTAACTTGTGGCATCAGTGAGTGACACAATGGTGTGAATGGTGGTACAGGCCTTGGGCAGTACCTGAGAAATCTGTTACACCTTTTGTCAACTGCAGAATGGAGGGAGGTGCTGCCAGGAGGGTGGATGGGACAAGAGGCAGTGAAGCCCTTCAGGACAGAGTTGATGTGGAGAAGGGGAAGCTGCTGGCCTGGATCTGTGCTTTCTTTCAATGGCACCTGCTGGAGAGCCCACAGTCCCTGGGATACTGGGCCTCACTGGGCAGAGCCATGGCCCAGGAGGCAGGTGTGGTCCCAGGTAGCCCCTGTCAGCCTGGGCCCCCTAGTCTCTGCAGACCTGCCCCTGTGGACCAGGTGATCTGGAAGCAAAGGTGGCTGTGGGGGGATGTTTGAGGTATTGTGGGCCCAGAGGTTGCTGCTCAGGGTACCCGGCTTTTCTTTGCCCTGTTGTCCAGTCCCTGAAGAGGAAGGAGAAGGAATATGAGCATGAGATGGAACGGCTGGCACGGGAGAAGATTGCCACGCAGCAGCGGTTGGCAGAGCTCAAACACGAGCTGAGCCAGTGGATGGATGTGCTGGAGATTGACCGTGTGCTCCGACAGACAGGCCAGCCCGAGGACGACCAGGCTTCCACCTCTACTGCCTCTGGTGAGCCCTGCCCCTCAAATGTCAGGCTTCCTGGCCAGGTATCTGCCTGCTGGAAAAGATGCCCTCCCGCCCCAGCCCCATAATATCCCCAGCCCTCCAGGGGTATTTATTTCTCCAGCCTCTTGTTTCCAAACCCTCTGACCTGTCCCTGTCCTCGTGTCCCCCCCACAGAGGGTGAGGACAACATAGACGAGGATATGGAGGAGGACCAGGCCGGCCTGGGCCTACCTAAGCTGAGCCATCGCCCCCACCCGGAGCTGCCGAAGCCACCGCCCAGCGCCGCCCCTGCGCCTCTGCCTCCCCACCCACACCCCCACTCCCAGCCTGTGGCCCTGTCTCCTGCCCACCTGCCTGGGCAGCAGCCGCTGCCACAGCAGAAGACACCTCTGCCGGCCCCTCCTCCCCCACCAGCTGCCCCTGCCCAGACGCTGGTGCCTGCTCCGGCCCATTTGGTGGCTGCATCTGGGGGAGGCTCCACAGTTATCGCCCACACGGCCACCACCCACGCCTCAGTCATCCAGACTGTGAACCACGTTCTCCAGGGGCCAGGCGGCAAGCACATCGCCCACATTGCCCCCTCAGCCCCCAGCCCTGCTGTGCAGCTGGCACCTGCCACACCCCCCATTGGCCACATCACAGTACACCCTGCTACCCTTAACCACGTGGCTCACCTTGGCTCCCAGCTTCCCCTATACCCGCAGCCTGTGGCAGTGAGCCAGCCCGTGGCGGTGAGCCACATCGCCCATACCCTCTCGCACCAGCAAGTGAATGGCACAGCCGGGCTAGGACCCTCTGCCACTGTCATGGCAAAGCCAGCTGTTGGGGCTCAGGTGGTGCACCACCCCCAGCTGGTGGGCCAGACAGTGCTCAACCCTGTGACCATGGTCACTATGCCCTCCTTCCCGGTCAGCACACTCAAGCTGGCTTGAGGATGAGGCTACTCAGAGGCCCCCAGTGGGGGCAAGGAGGGGGACCTGTCCCCACACTCTCCCACCAGCTCCACACATTCCAGCCAGGCCCAGGCC